GAAGGTCAGCACTGCGCGGAGCGCTCACTTCTCAACTGCGGACATCATGTGGCTGCCGTTCACCGGCTCGGGAGACCCGGGGGCCCGGCCCTGGAGGCGCACGCACACCTGCGACCCCAGCCCCGGGGGAGCAGACGCAGGGAGGGCGGTGGGCGGGGAGGAAGGCCCGCTGCCACTAACGGTAGGCGCGGGGGAGGGGGACACCATTGGCTCAACGCCAAAAAAAAAAGAAAAGACAAAAAAAAGCCCCAAAGGTCTGGGGTGCACACGGCCGGATGACAGCGCCTGCCCGGCGATGCGCGCGGCCCAGCGCTACAAAAACGGGTTCTGGAGGCCCCAGGGTCACGGCTGGGCACCGTGCAACCCACTCCGGCTCGGGCTTCGTGCCCGGCGGCGTGGACACCGAGAAACGCGCGGTGCCGCCGCCGCCCGCGCGGGGAGGGAGAGTTCGGAGCTCCCGGGCGGCCGCTCCCCACCCCACCGCCGGCCACGCAAGGCCCGGAGCGGGAGACCGGGGCGGCCCCGCCTCCTGGCTGCGCCGTCTCGGGTCGCGGCGGCCCCGGCGGGCAGGGGACCGGCTGGGGGCATCCAGGAAGCGGGGAAGACACAATGGCGGCGAGACCACCATTTTGGATTGCCACCTTCTCCCCCCCTCCCCCGGTCTCCCTGCTCCCCGCCGAGACTCGCGCTCAGAAAGGGACCAAGGCCACGGGACCGAGCGCCCGACCGAGCCCCAGCGGCCAGGACGCCGCCCGGCCGAGGGGTATCAGGGGCGCGCGCGGCGGGACGCGGCGGGGCGAGGGCGGATGGCGGCGGATGGCGCGCTAGGCCAAAGCTTACCTAAGCGCTTGCGAGCGCGTATGGCGGCGGCGACAGGGACGGAGGCGGGAAGCTGCCTTCACTTCCGGTCCCGGGCGCTTTACCCCCCCAACCCCCAGCCTCGGCCTCCCGCTTTCCTGGCTGTCAGAGCGCAGGCGCGCGCGGGAGGTGGGGGCGGGGCCGGAAGCCGGAAGTGGGCGCTGCGGCGGGCCTCCAGCTGTGCGCGCCGCGGGGCCGCCTTTGCGAGGCGCCCGCCTGGGGTCCCGCTCCCGGCCGCTCCGCTGCCGCCGGTGACCCGAGCGCTCGCGCCGCCCCCCTCAGCGCGGCGTCCGCCTCTTGCTTGTGTCTCCTTTTCTTCCACGCCAGGCTCCGCTCCGAGACGCGTTCTCTCGGGGTCCTCAGCCTGGTCGTCAAGGTGACCCGAGGGTGGCCGAGCACAGTCGGGCCTCCCGGGAGGAGGGCGCCCGGGCAGGCCACGCCCTTTACGATTGCGCGGAGGAGGAGCAGGGTTTGCCCAGAATGATACTGGCAAGGTAGCAGCTTGCGAGATGGAGGTTTACGTTATGCCCAAACGTTAAAAAATAAATAAATAAATGGTGGGGTTTGAGGGTTATGCAGCTTTCCAAAGTTATTTTTTAATTATTTATTTATTATGCATACAGTTTTTTTTTTTTTTTTGGTTTTTCGAGACAGGGTTTCTCTGTGGCTTTGGAGGCTGTCCTGGAACTCGCTTGGTAGTTCAGGCTGGTCTCGAACTCACAGCGATCCGCCTGCCTCTGCCTCCCGAGTGCTGGGATTAAAGGCGTGCGCCACCAACGCCCGGCGCATACAGTTTTTTTTAAATCTGTGTACATGCTTGTACCCCAGGAGAAAGCACCAGATCTCTTTTAGATGGTTGTGAGCCACTGTGTAGTTGCTGGGAATTGAACTCAGGTCCTCTGGAAGAACATGCAGTGCTCTTAACCTCTGAGCCATCTTTCCAGCCCTGTTATTTTTATTATTACTATTACCATTTTTTTTCCGAGACAGGGTTTCTCTGGCTGTCCTGGAACTCGCTCTGTAGACCAGGCTGGCTTCGAACTCACAGAGATCGCCTGCCTCTGCGTCCCGAGTGCACCACCACCGCCCGTCTCCATAGTTACGATTACTTAGAGCAGAGTGCTACCACAACAGCTCCATGGTTGAGCCAGGATCTTCCCCCTTCAAATATGTGGTTCTGCCTTCTTTGAGATGCTACTATGTGCATGAGAAGCTATGCCCTGCCGACGCGCGGCATCAGAACTAGGTGTGAGCTTTCCCTGTTAGCACACTTAACCACTCAACACTAAGTAGGCACCATGGTCACCAACCCTCAGCATTTGACAGAAGCTGGTGGTGCCCTGACTTAGCAGCCGCCGGCTCCGCCCTCTGGAGTTAGCATTCACAGACGCCACAGCTTTTGTGCTAAGCCTAGGAGTAGGTGGGGATTCCTCTCGGCCCCTGGCAAAGTAGGAAACACTGTAGCTCCAGAAAATGAGGTATCTGGGGCCTATGGCTTTGAGGACAGTTCCCAGGGACTCTTCCAGGGACCCAGATGGCAGACTCTAGGCCACTTCTTTCTTCCTGTTGTTACCAGCTCAGCCTAAAAGGCCAGAGGAGACCTCTCAAGGGAAAGCCTTTTATTGGACCTACCGTTGTAGCACTGAGGAGATTAACATAGTAAGATTTATCCCAGCCGGGCGTTGGTGGCGCACGCCTTTAATCCCAGCACTCGGGAGGCAGAGGCAGGCGGATCTCTGTGAGTTCGAGGCCAGCCTGGTCTACAGAGCTAGTTCCAGGACAGCCTCCAAAACAATACAGAGAAACCCTGTCTCAAAAAACCAAAAAAAAAAAAAAAAAAAAAAAAGATTTATCCCAGCTGAGCCCCCAAGTGAGTCAAGCATTCTACTTTACAGCTGGCAGAGGATGTTTGCGCCAACACCGCAAACTCATGCAAATGAAGGCTTGTGTTTGCACCAATCACGACATTGCATCAGTCAACACACCCTCTGCTCCTGGACCATAGGGAGTTCCACCACACCATGGGGGGGGGCGCGACACGAGGACCAAATGTCATCTAGAGTCCATCAAGGCTTGTGATAGCAAAAAAAAATCCAGTAACCAACTGTGTCAAACAGTCCTGGCTGAGGCCACGCCTTCAGGAGCTGGAGCCATTAACTGTCATCACCATGCTTCTCTCAAAGTGTTCAGAATAGCCAGTGTTGGGCAAAGGATGGTCTGGCCGGCTGTTTTACTGGCAGTCCTGCTCAGGGCAGACAGGAACTGTCCAACAGCTGTCACCAGAGAATCTAATTGCCTCACCTCCTGGTGACCCCTTGTTTACAGGATAGTGAACAACAGAGGAGCACTTATGATAAACACTTGAACTCATTAACACTCAGTGGTTTTTTTTTTTTTTTTTTTTTGGTTTTTCGAGACAGAGTTTCTCTGTGGCTTTGGAGGCTGTCCTGGAACTAGCTCTTGTAGACCAGGCTGGTCTCTAACTCACAGAGATCCGCCTGCCTCTGCCTCCAGAGTGCTGGGATTAAAGGCTTGCGCCACCAACGCCCGGCAACACTCAGTGGTTTTTAACAATACTTAAAGCCTGAGCCAACGGCCACAGCGAAGGGTCCCCCTCATCTGTCATCATTCCTTCCTTCCTTTGTTAGTGAGTTTGAGTCTGTTATGTAGCCTAGACTAGCCTCCAACTCTCAATTCTCCTGCCTCAGGCTCCACGTGCTGGGATTGAAGTCAGTGGGCACCATGTCCTGCTCTGCTATTCCTAGAAACACACACACACACGCACACGCACACGCACACGCACACACACACACGCACACACACACGCACACACACGCACACGCGCACACACACGCGCGCGCGCACGCGCACGCACACGCACACACACACACGCACACACGCGCGCGCACACACGCACACACACACGTACATAGATTCAGCAAGATGGCACGGCAGCACAGCTAGCAGGGTCACATGGGGTGTAATCGGGACCATTTCCCACCAAGTCTGTCGCCCTGCTTCAAAAATCGGGTTGATTTTGTATGGCTATTTCCTCGGGATTGAGACATTTCCTCCTCATGACAGTAGAGAAGGCCTTTTCATAAAATCCAGAAAGAAGTTGCAAGCCACAGAACCCTTTCTCCCAGATTACGTCACCTATAACCAGTTCCTGACGACAGAAGTCTCTGGTGGATCTGTGTACAAGCTTTGGAGAGAACTCTGGTGATGGAGGACGAGGGAGGAGCAGCTCCGATCTCCCTTGCTGCTGTAAGTGACCTATCACCGGTACTCCCGGCGGTGGGCCCCTGACTCTGCCAGTCCAGACTTGAGTGGAGAAGTTTCTTTGGTCTTTCGTTAGTGCCCTACCTGGCATAAATAGACTTTTTACTGTCTGCCTACAGAAAAGTCATACAAGCCAAGACCACAGGTTGTCTCACCGATTCATGCCCTAGGTGAAACAAGCTTGCCTTCCATGGTGAAGAGAACTGTTGCAAGACGGAGTCACAGCAGAGCGGTTTCCTATCAGTGAGCATTTTAGTTCACAGTATTCACCAGCTGCCGGTCACGCCCCAAGTGCTGTCTTAGGCTCTGGGGACACAGCAGCCCCTCATCAGATACTTCACATAACAAGAGCCAGCACCTGGACATAGAGCGTCAAGCCAGGTGTGGTGGCGCACACCTTTAGTTGCAGTATTCGAGAGGCAGAAGCAGGTGGATCTCTGTGAGTTCAAGGCCAGCCTGGTCTCCATAGGAAATTCCAGGACAACCTGGGCTACATAGTAAGGCTCTCTCTCTCTCTCTCTCTCTCTCTCTCTCTCTCTCTCTCTCTCTCTCTCTCTCTCACACACACACACACACACACACACACACACACACACACACCAGGCACTAATAAGCAGAGTAAAACACAGGAAGCTGCAGAGTGCTTGTTGGGACCTGCTGACTTTTCTCCTACGGTTATCACACGCAGCCCTCGGGTCCCAAGGAGCCTCACATGTTCCCACTTGAGAGAAACGCCACATCACTGTGTGCTTTCGTTTCCCCCAGAAAGCTGCCCAGGGCAGCCATCTGCAGTGTTCTGAGGGGAGGGAATGAAAACGGGAAAAGCCATGAGGCAGAGAGAGGCCGCTTTCACCACCGACTGACTCGCCCAGCGATATTTTATTGACACTGTGCTGTCATGCAGGGAAGCAGGGAAGCAGATGTTGAGCCACAGAAAGGAACGGGTGCATGTGGACGCCGCAGCATCACTTCAGCTCTGGGAGGCAGTAAGCTTTGGGAGCACAGAGGGCCAGCCCAAGGGAAGACCCACTCACAAGGAACAAAGAGAGACGCTAAGAGGCTCGACATACATCTGCTGACTTTGAGAGAGGGACTAAATGACACTATCATTTCAACTTTTCAGGGGTCATGATGTGCCTTTGGAAAAAGCAAATTCTTTAGAGAATGTCTAGAGTCACAATGACTGAGCGTTACAGAGTGCCAAGGACAGATTACGATTCGGGCAGGCAAGCAGGGGGCGGTGGGGGTCATAATATGGGCTTGCCGTTTATGGAATCACAACTACCAGCCGTCTGGAACTATGCTGAGTTCTTTCAGGAGGATTCACAGTAGTCACCTTAAAAGGCTAGCATTATTACCATCATTCCAGTTACAAACAGGAGGACATCAGGACTTCCAGGCTAAAGAGCTTGTCCAGGCCCCGGTCTCATGGCCAGGAAGGAAGAGGGGAGGGAGAGGAACCCAAATCTGCCAGCTGAGTCAGGATGCTTTCCATACCTCCATCGCCATGACACATTTCACAGAGGGTACCGATGGGGATGGCTTGAGTGTTCATCATATAGATCCAGTGGGTGTCATGGAACACACAGATTCAGGTTAGAATGGGCTGTTTGTAAGTCTCACGGAGGGTGGGACTGGGGGGTGGGGGGAATATTGGGTCCTGTTACCTAGAAGTCTTTCTTCTAGGAAAAGGTTATTTTTTAAAGGTTTATTTATTTATCATGTACAGTGTTCTGTCTGCCTGACATGGTTGTGAGTCACCATGTGGTTGCTGGGAATTGAACTCAGGACCATCAGTGCTCTTAACCACTGAGCCATCTCTCCAACCCTGGAACAGGTTATTATGTGAGGTGATGGGGGGTCCTAGGGATTGAAACCAGTGCTCTGTGCATGCTACGCAAGTGATTTTGAGTTGGGATAGGAGTCGGCAGAGGAGTCAGCCTCTAGGGACACGCCCCTAAGAAGTGGTCCTAGACGGTGATCCGGTAGTTGGGGTGGACCTGAGGCCTGACGTCACAGACCATGCTGAGAAGCTGAGCCAGGACACGCTCCCGGTTTCTCTGCTGGGAGCTCTGCATGCCCTGGACCTGACGTCTGGTGGCCTGCTCCACTTCTGCAGACAGGTTCCCCTGAGAGCCCATGGCCTGGGGTGGAGGAGAGAGAGAAGCAGAAAGGGAGAAAGAAAGGTCCCATGTGTAAAGGAAGACTCCTGAGTAAGGCCTGGAAAGCCTTTCTTTCTTTCTGTTTTTTTTTTTTTTTTGGTTTTTCGAGACAGGGTTGGAAACTGTCCTGGAACTCTCTTTGAAGACCAGGCTGGCCTCAAACTCACAGAGATCCGCCTGCCTCTGCCTCCCAAGTGCTGGGACTAAAGGCGTGTGCCACCACCGCCCGGCCCTGGAAAGCCTTTTCAAAACTACTCCCATCCCGCCAAAACTCTAGATACCAGACAGGTCAGCACAGTCCCGGGTTCTAAGATGTGACATGCAACCCCACCCAAAAAAACAGTCTGAAATTCCCCCCTCTCACCACAATGGCCATAAAACTCTGCTCCCCACCATCGATGTTGCCACACTCCACACAGACTGTGGAGGCTGCCCCCCCCCCACAAGTTGCATGTCTCCTTTAAATTCCCCAGGCCTTGTCAGGGCCCCTTCGGGCCTGTGACAGTCTAGTGTTTCATTGAGTCACCTACATTTTACAGGAGGCACCCCCCAATTTGCGCCTGAGTTGGTCCATCCCTGCTCCCCTCAACTCACGGCCTGCTGCTTGCTGTGAAACTCCTGCTCACGCTCCCTGCGGTACTGCTCCACCTCCGTTTGCGCCTCCTCCTTGGCCTGCTTCAGTCTCCGGGCCTTCCCTGGAGGCAGGACGACAGTGGGTATAGACCCCCCCACATAAGAGACAGTGGGTATAGACCCCCCCACACATAAGAGACAGTGGGTATAGACCCCACACACACATAAGAGACAGTGGGTATAGACCCCCACACACATAAGAGACAGTGGGTATAGACCCCACACACATAAGAGACAGTGGGTATAGACCCCACACATACACATAAGAGACAGTGGGTATAGACCCCACACACATAAGAGACAGTGGGTATAGACCCCACACACATAAGAGACAGTGGGTATAGATCCCACACACATAAGAGACAGTGGGTATAGACCCTACACACATAAGAGACAGTGGGTATAGACCCACACACATAAGAGACAGTGGGTATAGACCTCACACACATAAGACAGTGGGTATAGACCCCACACACACATAAGAGACAGTGGGTATAGACCCCACACACATAAGAGACAGTGGGTATAGACCTCACACATAAGACAGTGGGTATAGACCCCACACACACACATAAGAGACAGTGGGTATAGACCCCCCCACATAAGAGACAGTGGGTATAGACCTCACACATAAGACAGTGGGTATAGACCCCACACACACACATAAGAGACAGTGGGTATAGACCCCACACATACACATAAGAGACAGTGGGTATAGACCCCCCCACATAAGAGACAGTGGGTATAGACCTCACACATAAGACAGTGGGTATAGACCCCACACACACACATAAGAGACAGTGGGTATAGACCCCACACATACACATAAGAGACAGTGGGTATAGACCCCCACACACATAAGAGACAGTGGGTATAGACCCCACACACATAAGAGACAGTGGGTATAGACCCCACACACATAAGAGACAGTGGGTATAGACCCCCACACATAAGAGACAGTGGGTATAGACCCCACACATAAGAGACAGTGGGTATAGACCCCACACATAAGAGACAGTGGGTATAGACCCCACACACACACATAAGAGACAGTGGGTATAGACCCCACACACATAAGAGACAGTGGGTATAGACCCCACACACACATAAGAGACAGTGGGTATAGACCCCCCCACATAAGAGACAGTGGGTATAGACCCCACACATAAGAGACAGTGGGTATAGACCCCACACACATAAGAGACAGTGGATATAGACCCCACACATAAGAGACAGTGGGTATAGACCCCCACACATAAGAGACAGTGGGTATAGACCCCCACACATAAGAGACAGTGGGTATAGACCTCCCACATACACATCAAGTGTGTTAGACAGTGGGTATAGACCCCACACACATAAGAGACAGTGGGTATAGATCCCACACACATAAGAGACAGTGGGTATAGACCCCACACACATAAGAGACAGTGGGTATAGACCCCCACATACACATCAAGTGTGTTAGACAGTGGGTATAGACCCCACACACACATCCGGGTGTGTTAATAGGGATCAGTCCCCTCCAGAAAGTCATTTAGCTTCCCATCAACCAACCAAGTGCTGGATTCTAAAACCCACCCATATCTTCTATCGTAATAAGCTTCCAGCCCCCAGCTCTGTCTCCATTATCCTTGGGTTTTCCTAAGGACTCAAATGTCCCGTATCCCCTGCCCCCAAACCCTCCTCCCTGAGTCCTAGGAGAGCAAAGAGGAGGCTCACTCTTCCTGGCATCGGCCACCTTCTCCGCTGCCCGCTTCTCGGCTTGGAGGAGCTGCTGGATACCCTGGGACTGACTGGCCATTTTTCTGTCACTAGAGAGGATGCTGTCTCGAAGGCGACCAAGGTACCAGATGGCTCCCCGCCTCCAGCGCCTACTCCTCCGGCCGGCCCGCGGCTGCAGTCTCCACTCCCACTGGGTCTTAGTGCTCCCGTTTTCTCGCAGCCTGCCGCATCCTCAGGCTGAAGACTGGTCCTCCTCCAGCGCCTCACGAGGCAGTGCTCCAAACGGCCGCCTGGGGGCAGCAGAGACCAGGCCTGCGCTGACAACTGCAGCAGGTGCAGGGCCTCTCGTGTCCCCCGGGTCTACGGGGATGGAGACGGGGGAAGGGGAGGCTGGAGTGCTTGGGTGGGCGGAGAGCTTGACTGGTGGTCTCAGAGGAGGCACAGAGACGATGAGAATGGTGTGGGAAGGTAAGGATGTGCTTGGAGACCAGTGCGACGGGTTTCATGCTCCCCCTCCCCCAGTCTCCCGCCGCCCTCTGCCCCTCCCCCGCTTTTCTTTCTCCCGTCTTTTTTTTTTTTTTTTTTTTTTTTTTTTTGGTTTTTTGAGACACTCGAGGCAGGGTTTCTCTGTGGCTTTGGAGGCTGTCCTGGAACTAGGTCTTATAGACCAGACTGGTCTGGAACTCACAGAGATCCACCTGCCTCTGCCTCCCGAGTGTTGGGGTTCAAGGCGTGCGCCACCACCGCCCGGCTTTATCTTTTTTGTTTGTTGACATATTTCCCAAATCCGAACGCCTTCACACATCTCACCTCCCCTGTCCAACGTTTGCCTTTTTTGTTTGTTTGTTTTTTTTTTTTGAGACAGGATTTCTCTGTATTGTTTTGGAGGCTGTCCTGGAACTCGCTCTTGTAGACCAGGCTGGTCTCGAACTCACAGAGATCCGCCTGCCTCTGCCTCCCAAGTGCTGGGATTAAAGGCGTGTGCCACCATCGCCTGGCCAACGTTTGCCTTCTTAGTGTCGTCTCATGCACTTTTCGTTTTGGATCTACCTATGTATTAGGCCTCATTGTGATTTTTTTTCCTTTTCTTTTTTGTTTTGTTTTGTTTTTCCAGACAGAGTTTCTCTGTGTAGCCCTGGCTGTCCCGGAACTCGCTCTGTAGACCAGGCCTGCCTCTCTCTGCCTCCCGAGTGCTGGGATTGAATTTTTCTCATTATAATTTTTAAAAATCTTTACTTCCCCCCTTTGCTGTCCTTCTCCTTCCATTTACTTCCTGTCCGCTATTAAACTATCCCTTCTCTCCTGCTCGTGAGGGGTCCGAGAGAAACCTGAAGACACCCCTCCCGTCCCCCAGCCCCTTGGAACCGGGCCTCTAGTCCCGCCCTGCGGCTTCAGGAGGACCCTGTGTCGTTGCCTCTGCCTTGTTTCCCCTCCGGAGGCCTCATCACGAGTCACCCGGTCGGGTCGGAACGATTTCCGGGATGGACCCGATCGTCCATTTCCGCCCGAGACTTGCGTCCGCGCTTGCGCCACTTCCGCCAGGCCGGGGCGCCGCCTCCCTGCCTCCCTCCCCGCCTCCCTTCTCCGAGGGTCTTAAGCCCAGGCCTCGGGCCCCAGCCCCGCGGGTCCTTTGGGGGGGCGGGGAGCGGCGCGGATGAGCGGGCCCTGTCCCCGGGCCCCCGAGGAAGGAGCCTCCACGTCTGCGAGTCGGGTACCTTCCGCCCCGTCTCACTTGTGACGTCCCCGTCCCTCTCCCCCCCACCCCAAAGTTCAGAGCTAACTTTCCCCTCGGCCTCCGGAGCCTTAAAAACCATCACGAGTCGTTTCCTCAGGGCTAACACCCGAAGTCAAGCCCCCGGCCGCCCCCGCCCGTCGCCCCGCAGGGCTGCGCGTTCGGGGACGGCTTCGTCTCTACGGAGCCGGGGGTTGGGGGGGCGAAGGGAGAAGCGGGCGGGCGAGCCCGGGGTGCAGGGCGGGCCGATCGGGGTCCTCACCGCTGCCCTCTCCCGCTTCTCCCCCAGCCCGAGAGCCCCATGGCCTCTGCTTCCCGCCGGCAACGCCGAGAGCGGCGCTTCCGCCGGTACCTGTCGGCGGGGCGGCTGGTGCGAGCCCAGGCTCTCCTCCAGCGACACCCGGGCCTCGACGTGGACGCCGGGCAGCCCCCTCCCCTGCACAGGGCCTGCGCCCGCCACGATGCCCCAGCCCTGTGCCTGCTGCTGCGACTCGGGGCTGACCCTGCCCACCAGGACCGCCACGGCGACACGGCGCTGCACGCTGCTGCCCGCCAGGGCCCCGGCGGTGAGTGGCTCGGTGGGAACCGGTGGTGAGAGGCCCGATTAGAGCTGAAGCGAAGGCCAGCTGAGGGCCGGGATATAAGGGCCCGGTGTGTGGGCGCACGCCTTTGACCTGAGCACGCAGGGGCGAAGGAGGATCTCTGTGAGTTCGAGGCCAGCCTGGCCTGGTTTACACAGTGCGCTCCAGGGCTACATAGAGAGATTCTGTCTCCAACAACAACAAAAATAATTGGGAAGTAAGCTAGTTATTTGGTCCTTGGGACCTGCTGGAGCAGTTGACCTGGTCGGTATGTGACCATCGTATATGTGTGCATTAAAGTAACGTAAGCTTATCCCAAAATTGCCCAAACTTCAACTAAGGTAGGTAGATAGGTGTGTGTGTGTGTGTGTGTGTGTGTAACTGTTGGGGGTTTTGTTGTTCTCTTGAGTTTGGGTCTTCAGGCTGGCCTCAAACACACTCTTGCTCAGCATCCCACGTGCTGAGATTGCAGGCATGCGGCCACACACGCAGCCAACCCCGCTTGCAACTTTTTCTTTACATTTCCTATCTTTCAGGACTAGTGATTACTTTGTTTCTTTGATAACTATAGCTGTAGCACAGCCTTACCATTGATTGCTCCGGGCTCAGATCCCAGATCCAGGAAGTTTGCCACCCCACCCCCCACCCCCAGCTTAGTTTGCTTCTCTCCCTCTCCGTGTGCAATTAAAACAATAGCAACCTTTGTGATTTGCTACAAACGTTTAACAAAGTATCCGTGCTGTCTGCTGGGATGACAGGACCAGCAGACGTGAAACCCGGTGTGGAGTTATGCTGGAGATCTGCGTTCCTGTGTTAGGATCAGATTCATGTTCCTTGAGGAGTACTTCTGAAATACAGAAACACCCTGGGGACCAGTTTTCCCCAGTCTCCACCAAAATTCTGTAACAACAACAAAAGTAACTTAAAACTGGTGGTGCACGCCTTTAATCCAGCACTCTGGAGGCAGAGGCAGTCAGGACTCCGAGCTCACAGTCAGCCTAGTCTCCATAGCGAGTTCCAGGCCAACCAGAGCCTTGTTAGAGAGACCCTTTCTCAAAATAACAACAGAACATCTCACATAGGAGGTAGCGGCTTCACAGTGCAAACAGACCCTGCTGGTCACAGTTTGTGCAGGTAACCTGTCCAGAAGCAGCCCAGCCGCCTAGAAAGATGGGAAATTGCAGTGCACTCGTGTGATCAATCCCAGCACTCACGAGCATGGGGTTCCCCTCAAGGCCAGTCTGGTCCAGGCCTGAGTCTCAAACAAACAAGCAAATCTAACCTAAATGGAGGCCGTGGCGATTAGTTTATCCTGCTGAGCTCAGGTGTGGGCTTGCCTGCCCCTGCTCCCCCAGCCAGGAGACCCCGCTAGATAGTGCACTTGTAGATGAACAAACCCCCGACAGTTGTGAAAACCACATGAAGCTGTTGCTTTGGCAGTGACAGCAGGACAGCAGGACAGCAGGAGCGGCTCTGTAGAGAGAGGAGGCTGCCGCCCCCCCCCCTCGCATTGCCTTCTGGACACCGGAGCGCGTGAACAGCACCAACCCCGCCTGCCCCTTTCTCATCTCCAGCTTGGCCTCTTCTTGGTCCAGAAAAAAGAAAAACAATTTTTTTTTAGGGAAGGGTTTATTTGGCTCATAGTTCCAGAGGGATTAGAGTCCATTATGGCAGGGAAGGCATAGTGAACAGGAGTGGGAAGTCAGCTGACCACATTTTCATTCACACAGAAACCGGAACAGAGAGGGGGCAAGGCTGTAAACCCTGAAAGCCCGGTGTGTGCTTCCTTCAGCAGGGCTGTCGTATTAAAGCAGCGGTGCTCAACCCTCGAGTCACAGCGCCTTAGGGGGCCAAATGACCCCCACAGGGGTTGCCTAAGACCAGTAGAAAACACAGACATTTACATTATGCTTCATAATAGTAGCAAAGTTAGTTATGAGGCAGTAACAAAAATAATGTTAAGGCTGGGGGTCATGACAGCACGAGGAACTGTCTTGCAGGGGGTTGCAGCATTAGGAAGGTTGAGACTCTCTGTCTTACGGTTCCACGGCTCCCAGACAGAAGCATCAGCTGGGGACTGAGTGTTCAAATACTCCTCCAGAGCCCACAGAAGGACCTTTCAAACCCAGGTCTGCTTTGAGCTTACATCCCAAGAGAGGACTAGAGGGCCAAACTTGTCACAATTTGCCAGCTGTCCAGGCTGATCTCTGCTGGCACCTCCAGAGGAATCCTGGGTTCCCGACAGTCCATCGTCCTTCCCAGGGTGGTCTACATCAGCTCCCCTTGGTCACTTTAGAATGCACACCTTCAAGCCGGGCGTTGGTGGCGCACGCCTTTAATCCCAGCACTCAGGAGGCAGAGGCAGGCGGATCTCTGTGAGTTCGAGGCCAGCCTGGTCTACAGAGTGAGTTCCAGGACAGCCTCCAAAACAATACAGAGAAACCCTGTCTCGGAAAAAAACAAAAAAGAATAGGAACGATACTGGGAATGAAGGTGTGCATTCTTTTTTTTTGTTTTTTGTTTTTTGTTTGAGACAGGGTTTCTCTATATTGTTTTGGAGGCTGTCCTGGAACTCACTCTGTAGACCAGGCTGGCCTTGAACTCACAGCGATCCGCCTGCCTCTGCCTCCCGAGTGCTGGGATTAAAGGCGTGCGCCACCAACGCCCGGCTGTATCATTCCTATTCTATTAGACTGGGCAGACCCAGACCACCAAGGGCCCACGAGGACAGCTCTTGACATGGTTAGTCCCCATCTGTCAGGCTCTGCTGCTATGCACTCAGCTTTCTTCCCAGCAAAAGCATCATTGGCATGAGGATGGCATCAGTTGGTGACTCCTCCACACAAAAGCTTAGATGCTGGAGGGAATGTAGGTGACATATTGTTTGGGCACCAGACATACCTCCAAGTGCAGGGTGCTATAGATATATGCCAACCTGTCAGCCGAGCTCCTCAGTCCACACGGATAACACAAGCCCCTCCCCCGTCCCTTCCCCTGGATCCCCACAGCCTGCTCCACCAACTCTGCATACACTCCCTTTCCTGTTCCCATCCACACAGCCAGTTAGTACCCTCTCCCCGTGACGGGGCAGTCATGTGCCATCTCTGCACCATGCATCTCTGTCCCAGGGGTCTTCAGAACGTACAGCCGCTTCCTAGTCTCACTGTCCACAAGACCCCTCCCACTCCACACAGTCCGTCCCAGGTTCCCCGACTACGCCGCCCGTTATCCCTGACTCCCTGTCCAGGAAGCCAGTTGTCCCAGCTCCCGGTCCAAGCAGCCGAGCCCTTGCAAAAACCATTTTCTTTAATTCTGCTTCGCACAAGTAAAAGAGGCTTTAGCGCTTTGTCTGTCTGTCTGTCTGTCTGTCTGTCTATCTATCTATTAAACTTAAAGAGAGCAAGTTTGCCAAATGCTGGCTGCAGCTGACTGGCTGATTCTGTTGTGGAGAATCTGGAGTGAGCTCCTGAGGTGTCTGAATAAGTCTAATGGAATCTTTATTTACCACCACAGGACTGTTCCAAACAGCAGCAACAAGCCACAAGCAGCCTCAACCTCCAGGGTTGTTTTTTTGAGTTTTTAAGGGCAATAAACACAGTCATGACGTGTACAGAAAGGCAGTCCTGTACTCTGCGGCAACCAAGAGTTGTTTACTGAAGCAGAGAGACAGCAGTTAAGTAGTCAGACCGCTAACCTTTAGCTCAGGGTTACTTTGTATAGGAGTTTGTGGCTGCCCCAGAGACCAGTTCACCATAGATATTATGTCTGGTCTAAGTGACCAGAGATGAGTTGTTACCCAAAGGCAGTCTTAGCAATTGGAGTATTCTTAGGAATGCTTCCACAAGCCTGGTAACGGGGCACAGTGCTTTTGGGTTCCGGGGCCTGCACCCTTAACTCGGATAGCCTGTTTGCCTCTGAAAAAAAGGCCATGATGAGCACATGACCCACACGTTCATTGCAGTTTTGTTACATATTTTTATTCATGCGGCTCGGGTGAACTTTGCTGAGTAGCTCCTGATGATGGGGCAGCTCCTCCCTTGCTGTATTGAATTCTGAGGCGCGTGAGAAACATTTGACACATGGTGGTGAAAGTGAGGCCTTTCTAGGCGGCTCAGGGACTTGTCTGAAATGTCACAATTGAGAGATTGCAATGTCCCAAAGAGGAACCGCCCCCCCATCCCCCCAAACTTCTACTCCCAAACCCTGGCTGTTTACCCTGTCACCTGCCAGTTCCGCCACCAGGTGGCGCTCTAACTTGAGGGAGCAGCTGCTTGGGAGGTGGTAAAGTGCAGGCGCCTGCCCTAGTTGAGCGGGTTAAGTGACTGACTCTCCTGTAGGAGGCGCCCCTCAATTCCCGTGTTAGGTCTGAGGGACGCCCGAGGTCACTGCAGTGACTGCATGGGTTTGCCATACCCACATAGGACAGAAGAGGGAAGAGCCCCCCCCCCCCCGCCCCATTTTAGGCTTTGGTAACTTTTTGGATCATTATGGGAGAGCTCTCTCAGCTATCAGAGAGGCCCATCAGTGAAGCGTGTGTCAAACGGCGGCCATCCCGTACACAGAGCAAGCGAGCGTGAACCCTGACGAACACCATCTCAGGGTCGGGGTTTTTGGGTGGTGAGAAGAAGCAATCGTTCTGAGGTTTGGGTTTTAAGGTTTGTCCCAGTTGTTCTGCTGGCTTTGTTTGCTGTTTCGTTTGTTTGTTTTGAGATAGACACTCACTCTCTCTCTCTCTCTCTCTCTGTCTCTGTGTCTCTGTCTCTCTCTGTCTCTCTGTCTCTCTCTCTGTCTCTGTCTTTCTCTCTGTCTCTGTCTCTCTCTCATCTCTCTGTCTCTCTCTCTCTGTCTCTCTCTCTTTGTCTCTCTGTCTCTCTCTCTGTCTCTCTCTCTCTTTGTCTCTCTGTCTCTCTCTCTGTCTCTCTCTGTGTCTCTCTGTCTCTCTGTCTCTCTCTGTCTGTCTCTGTCTCTCTCTGTCTGTCTCTGTC